AGCGTAAACCACGAGTCATCCTAACCCTAACTTTTTCTGTTCTCTTTAAGGAGGGGAGTGGGGGGAGGGGGAGGGGGGAGGGGGGGAGGGGCTACACATGAGGTCTATCTCGGCTATTAGAGGATTGAATGTTATCAAACTTCACACATATAACAAGCACAGTGAGGAGCCTTAAAATCCGCAATCAAATTTGAGGGGGAAAAGTCTCCTTGCCTTGGAATGAATACCACACTTGTTTTTCTTGAAAATAGGCGGTTATTTTTCATGCATGTTAGCAGGCAATAGATGTACATATTATGCGTCTGTTTAATTGAAAAAATAACGAATAGAAAATTACATTTTTATCTGTATTTTTTCCTGAGGTAGTATTCAAGTTTTCAAAATATCCGTGAAAATCCACACTCCAAACACCATCAACAAAAAGCGATTCAGTATATTGAAAATTTAACAGAGGCATTGTTAATGCTAGGTCTTCTCTTCATAGTCTGAAAATTTCCTGAAGATTGGAAGGACACACAATGGACAATAATATGATAATAATATACATGCAAGCTTGGACAAGCATACTAATATTATTGAACACAAGTCTCCTTGGTATTCTGTGAAGCGCCCGATTCTATCCCTTCCTCTCTCTCTCTACCCCCTCTTTCTCCTTCTGTCTCCTTCTGTCTCTCTGTCTCTCTCTACCACTCTGTCTGTCTGTCTGTCTGTCTGTCTGTCTGTCTGTCTGTCTGTCTGTCTCTCTCTTTCTCTCTCTCTCTCTCTCTTTCTCTCTCTCTCTCTCTCTCTCTCTCTCTCTCTCTCTCTCTCTCTGTACATCTATCCATCTCTATGCGTGTGAGTGTATGTGTGCATGTGTGTGTGTGTATGTGTGTGTGCGCCAGTGCGGGTGCGCGTGCGTGTACCCCTAAATGAGCATCCAAAGAGTCCTTATCTCTCTCTCCATCACCAAGTTTCCCAACCCCAGACCTTGAACGTTGTCTGAGACATTTGTTTTTCAGAAATAGCCGAGCGTGGCATGGCGAGGGAGCGAAAAGTTTTATTACAATATTCGCAAAATATGACTGCTCTCTCATCGTCACTGTAATGTACAGAGAGCTGAAGATCCGACAAAGATTACAATATGTGAGGCATCGTGGTGGAATCACACGCTCGTCAATTTTTGGACATGTGGAGTTATTGTACCATTAAAAAATCTTGTTCATTATCCTGATTTAGGTGAAAAAAATACTCATCTATCATAAACAAAAGTCGAGATATTTGCCACTGAAGGAAGTGAGGATCATCTGGTTTCAGAATAACATTAACGAGAAAATTGCCTCCGAAGTGTGGAGACATCTAAAGCTTGAGAGTCTTTAGAAACTGCAAATTTAGTTTCCATGCCTTCAATCATTATTTTTTAATTAAAAACCAACTCTGAAAAGTGTTTTTAATGTCATCGGCCATAGCGTAAACCACGAGTCATCCTAACCCTAACTTTTTCTGTTCTCTTTAAGGAGGGGAGTGGGGGGAGGGGGAGGGGGGAGGGGGGGAGGGGCTACACATGAGGTCTATCTCGGCTATTAGAGGATTGAATGTTATCAAACTTCACACATATAACAAGCACAGTGAGGAGCCTTAAAATCCGCAATCAAATTTGAGGGGGAAAAGTCTCCTTGCCTTGGAATGAATACCACACTTGTTTTTCTTGAAAATAGGCGGTTATTTTTCATGCATGTTAGCAGGCAATAGATGTACATATTATGCGTCTGTTTAATTGAAAAAATAACGAATAGAAAATTACATTTTTATCTGTATTTTTTCCTGAGGTAGTATTCAAGTTTTCAAAATATCCGTGAAAATCCACACTCCAAACACCATCAACAAAAAGCGATTCAGTATATTGAAAATTTAACAGAGGCATTGTTAATGCTAGGTCTTCTCTTCATAGTCTGAAAATTTCCTGAAGATTGGAAGGACACACAATGGACAATAATATGATAATAATATACATGCAAGCTTGGACAAGCATACTAATATTATTGAACACAAGTCTCCTTGGTATTCTGTGAAGCGCCCGATTCTATCCCTTCCTCTCTCTCTCTACCCCCTCTTTCTCCTTCTGTCTCTCTGTCTCTCTCTACCACTCTGTCTGTCTGTCTGTCTGTCTGTCTGTCTGTCTGTCTGTCTGTCTGTCTGTCTCTCTCTTTCTCTCTCTCTTTCTCTCTCTCTCTCTCTCTCTCTCTCTCTCTCTCTCTCTCTCTCTGTACATCTATCCATCTCTATGCGTGTGAGTGTATGTGTGCATGTGTGTGTGTGTATGTGTGTGTGCGCCAGTGCGGGTGCGCGTGCGTGTACCCCTAAATGAGCATCCAAAGAGTCCTTATCTCTCTCTCCATCACCAAGTTTCCCAACCCCAGACCTTGAACGTTGTCTGAGACATTTGTTTTTCAGAAATAGCCGAGCGTGGCATGGCGAGGGAGCGAAAAGTTTTATTACAATATTCGCAAAATATGACTGCTCTCTCATCGTCACTGTAATGTACAGAGAGCTGAAGATCCGACAAAGATTACAATATGTGAGGCATCGTGGTGGAATCACACGCTCGTCAATTTTTGGACATGTGGAGTTATTGTACCATTAAAAAATCTTGTTCATTATCCTGATTTAGGTGAAAAAAATACTCATCTATCATAAACAAAAGTCGAGATATTTGCCACTGAAGGAAGTGAGGATCATCTGGTTTCAGAATAACATTAACGAGAAAATTGCCTCCGAAGTGTGGAGACATCTAAAGCTTGAGAGTCTTTAGAAACTGCAAATTTAGTTTCCATGCCTTCAATCATTATTTTTTAATTAAAAACCAACTCTGAAAAGTGTTTTTAATGGACCCTGAAATAAGGCGTTGGGTAACCCCCCCCCCCCGAAAAAAAAAAAAAAAAAAAAAAAAACCCAAAATTTAATTGAAAAAGCCAAAACGTACAGAACAATGACAGTTTCTTTGATTTCATTATTATGACGAGCGCCTGATTTCACCTCGATGCTTCACGCGTCAATTTTACGCGCCCAACACTTCTGCGGCCAGTGACCTCCCAAGGCTTGATGATTTGGAAAAGTGATTAGCCTTGTAAACGGGCCGTTTTGGCTTCGTGGGCGTGTTTGGCGCACATCAAAAGGGCGTGGCGGATTAACGGTGTCGTGTCTTGCTGAGATTCGAATGTTGAGCTTTCCGACTATTTTAAGGTACACTGCGGTGTTAATTTGAGCCATACAGCTTTCTCTTTCTCATGCTCGCTCTCTCGCTTGTTCTGTCTCGCTCTCTCTCGTACTCTCTCTCTCTCTCTCTCTCTCTCTCTCTCTCTCTCTCTCTCTCTCTCTCTCTCTCTTTCTTTCTTGCCCTCTCTTTCCTACTCTCCTCCACCCCCCACCCCCTTGTTCTGTCTGTCTGTCTGTCTTTCTCTCCATTTGTGTCTGTGTATGTTTGTCTTTGTGTGTGTGTGCGTATGTTTGTGGGTGCGTATTTTTGTGTGTTAGTGTGTGAGTGTGTGTGAATGTGTGTATGTGTGTGTATGTGTGAGATAGATAGATAGATAGATAGATAGATAGATAGATATATATATATATATATATATATATATATATATATAGAGAGAGAGAGAGAGAGAGAGAGAGAGAGAGAGAGAGAGAGAGAGAGAGAGAGAGAGAGAAACAGAGAGAGAGAAGGTGATGACTTTTAATAGTTTTGACATGAATCTCTAGCTGGGTGATGTAAGAACTCAGGGATATTCGGTAAGGGGCAAAATAACAACAACAACAAAAGACAACAACAACAACAACAACAACAACAACAACAACAACAACAACAACAACAACAACAACAACAAGCAATTCATTTTACTCTGTCTCCAGGTGTTTCTGTACTCCAAAGGCAGCTCACTTCATTTGGAAGCCAATTTTATTCTACGTAACCCCAGCGCACTACAAGCTTTTTGGCCTTTTCAAACAGTGCACAGCAGGAGACATTGTTTTTTGCCATCACTTTCTCAGCTGCCGTTGTAATTCCAGACCTCCCAGCACAAACTGTTGGTCGGGAAAACCTACACAAAACAGGACATAACAAGCAGCATCAGCTTTGATCCCAACTGTTAAGTATAATCTACGTTCTTGTGTAGGAAGAGGTTTGTGACAACCAGCTGCACCGTTTACCAAACCCACAGCCCACAGCCCACAGCCCACTGACTCAGGGACTGACCTTTACGAGATACATAAGTAGATGACAATTGCTTCTATTTGATACATTTTCGGAACACCCTCGTGTCTCAACGCAGTGGAATCAGGCGCTCGTCAATTTTTTAGGCGGCATGTGGAGTTAGTGGTGTCATTTCAAAGCTTGTTTATTTGTCTTAGTTTCAGTGGAACCCCCCCCCCCCCCCCCCCCCC